GAAGGTGTACTACCAACCTATCTCGCCTATTTTTTATTGACTTCCATGGAGTCCTCTGTTCTCCTATTCTTTCCAATACCTCTTCATTTCTAACCTTTTCTACCCACGTTATCCTCATTATCCGCCTATAACACCACATTTCGAACGCTTCTAACCTTTTCTTTTCCGCCGCGCCCACTGTCCATGTTTTGCATCCTTACAACGCCATGCTCCAATTTACTGTAGTATTCAATAAATAGGACAAACGACCTATCCCAATACAATCTTATTTACCAATCTTCATTAGGCAGTTTTTCGTTATACTTAGTATTTTCTGCTAGAATTTCCCGGTCCTGCCGGATACCTGGCGTCATTATCCGGTACGCAGTCGGATTCTAAAAAATTGTACGGGATCCGCCTGTTACCGTATCCAATCCGGGTACCCGGCTTATCTCTAATTAAAACATAGTGTTACCAATTACCTTATTCTTTAGGAATTTACTTAAATATAGTTAAAACGATGGATTAAAGGATAAAAATTAATTATTTTTTTATACGCAAATTACTGACCCATATTCTTTTTTGGACGATATCTTTCTAAATTACTTGTACTCATTTTTTTTTGTAAATACGACGTAACGGTCCCAGTGTTTTCTTTTTCACTACCAAAATGCTTTAATAACGCCGTTTAAAAAATCACAGTTCATTATTTAATGCATGTGCATCAACAAACACCTAGAAATTGCGGATAAATCTGCGTCAATTTATATAAGATTAATAAATGTGTGCGGCAAATTAATGCAGCAGCAGTAATAATTACTGATCGTCTCCCAACGTAGACACCGTCCAGTTTTTTTTAGGATAGCGTAAGTGACATAAACAAATTGGATTTATTCGTCTGGTAGAGTGTCTAGTCTAAAAATTAATTGTTATTATTGTTGACGCAGATTCTAACAAAAACAAAGTAGGTATACGAATGCAATCAGCAAGTGCAACGACCACATTACTTCAAATATAACATAATTACGTATTTATTATCCATTACAGTAAAAATTGCACCTTTGATGTATGAATAAAACATATTTCTAGTCAATGTTGAATTGAAATATCTAACAATAAATTTACTGGCCCAGTATTTAGGGATTTAGGCTTAACACGCACAAAAGTCATAGGTATAATCGATTTGTATAACCTTTTTATGTACTACTGAGTTTAGAAAAAATATCGTTATTTATTCTTAAAGGTGGTTGAGTTTAAATACAGCAAGCCTATCGTGTTTCCAACAATTGGGGATTTTTTTTTTTGTAAGCGATCACAAAAAACGTTGGGTCATTAGATTACGCTTCTCTGTATTTCTAATGTCTTGTCGTAGAAGAAAAAAAGAAGTCGAAGAAATATAGGTACCTACCTAACTTGAAAACGAATCCGAGAAACAGAGATAAAATGCACTGGCGACTTAGAAAATGTAAACATCCATTGTTTTTCTTATACATACAATATTGATGACCTCAACCGTAAAAAAAGTTGGTAATCATACTAGCTATTAAATCATGAGCGAAATACCTGAAACGGGGAAACGTTCAAATGCAACCCGAATTTAATCAATAAATTATTGATTTTTTTTCAAGAATAACTAACATACAGGTTCTTGAAAAAAGTACGAAATTTCACGTTTTCTGATCGAAAAAATTAAACATACATTATTAGATATGTTTTCTATTATTAATTAGTACGTATTTGTAATGTTCCTCATTCTTCATTTACAGTGCAATTGGCCTAAATCCGTTGCCGTAAGGGTTCGTCAAGGAATAACAAACGATGTTGTGAAAGGGTTGTGGATTACTAACCTTAACCTAAATGAAGTAGAGCTGTACCGTTATTTACCCTGTTATCTTTTGACGGCCAGCCTTCCGCATTCCGAAGCTCGAACGAACGGGTTCGCTTATTATGTAATGGTGTAGGTAGATATAAGGAAGGGGCGTTGAACGGAAATAAGGGAATTCGAAGAACGTTTAAAAGGTCTACTCTACGAAGTAAGTACTCACGTCAATAAAGCTTACCAATTAACAACAATATCTTCGATTTATGCGTTTATTTTAAATAAATTAAGTGTTGGATTGGTAAAAGTAAAGAAATAAATGATGTAATCATCAACATTGTAAAGTTACGCAATTTTACAAATACAAAAAGTTTTACACAGAAATATTGTTCAGTTTAAAAGAGCCCATCTAATGGATGCTACAACTTCACAAAAAAAATATAGGTACCTCAATAAATTATAAAGCTTCAAAGAACAGGGTTGAATAGGCCCCCAAGAAAACTTTAAGACGTATTATATACCTATAGGAATACAGGCTTTTTTTACGTAAACCGTTCGTTAAAAGTTTCTAAACTTAAAGTATCAATAGAGATTTGAAAATGCGGCGAATAACGTAAAAGCTGGCGCTCTAATTAAAGTACATACTCGCAATCGTCGGTCACTTCCGATTATACCGGAAGTCGACATCAACTAGATTATTTTAAATAGAATGCCATATTTTTATGACATTTTTAGATTCAGTGAATCTTTTTAGATCTTTTTTGATTATACACTTCTTATTTGAAAAATTGGTAGTTTTCGAGATATTTGAAAATTGCATTCCCATATGCGGTTTATTTATCTCGTACCTATCCCTATCTGGGATTGCGCCCTTAGTATCGTAAATGCATACAGGGCGTTTAAAAATGCAGCGTCCAACTTATAAAATTTCGAACAAGCTGAAATTGTTTTTTTTCAAATGAAACACCCTTTATATTACCTTGTCAGTGAACGTAGTACTGAATTTTTCTTTAATTGAATGAATGAATATCTTATCTTGAAATAAAAATATATCGTCTTCCCCAATGGACACAACATTTGTATCCTCATATACTTTATAAAAAAAAAATGAATTTACTAAAAACAAAATTAGTTGAATGGCATTTTTTAAAGTTCTAATTCTAATAGTACAAAATACATTCAATAGTTTGAAAGGTTGGTGTGTTTCAAAATATTTTAGAAAAATGTTGGCATCATATGGTAGTTTAGCATTTTTAGATTCAGTGTTGATAATTGAACCGGACCGTTAGCATTTCTTTACATTCTCGTCATCATATCAAATCATTATAAAATTTTATAACACAATCGTCGCAAAAGGCATTTATTACTTATTAAAAAGCTTTTCTTCGAGATTGTTGTGACGCAAAAAAGTCAATCAAAAGTCCTTGTCAGACTCCTTTCTATTGAATATACAGCTAATTAATTTAGTCGCGTTTGGACGATAGTACTGCGAGGGTAGTTTTTTATTGTCCTTTCGTAGTGCAATTGGACGGAGACACGCATAAAAATATTCGTAATGCGAAATTGATATACGCATAAATATCTTCGACGTCTACAGTCTTTAGGAGTTCCCGAAAATGTAGATACGGATTTGGGCTCTGCACTGCACCTTACGATCGCCCTTTTTATGAGTTCAAATACAATTCGACTTAAGGCGCGTTCAGATATACTCTGTATTCACCGTTATTTTTTCACATTAAAGTGAAGAAATATTTGCCACCCTTACAATTCTGTTACCATGGGCTATAGTTCGTTCAGGGTTTACGTATATGCCACTACAATTTATATAAGTTGTAGAACAAGATTGCTGTTAATTTTTTGATAATATTTGCTCAAAATTATACACCCTTCAGAAAAATTTTGATATTTTTAAATATTTTATAACAAGTTATGCATTTTTTTTATCATCTTTTCTGTATTCACATATTCTTGTTACTAGGAAAATGTCGGAAAACAGGTAATAACGCCTTGTCAATTCAAATATTCTTCGGGAAAACAAGAGAAAATAAAAGTAAAATGGAAGCTGTCATCTAAAGAAACAGAAAGAAGAACAGTCAAGAAATTCTTCATCTTTTAATTTAATACGTAATACACGCACACGTATTAAAAACGTTTTGGTATTCATTTCAACTGAAGAGCGCATCATGCATGCACCTTCCACATTGCGCTACGAAAGGCGCACATCGCTTTTTTTAAAACAGAGAGATGGATTCACAAGCGATAGTAAGTGTTGCCGTATGTGTACAATAAAATGAAAAGTAAAACGAACAGAAGCGTTCTTCACGTTTTTGGCGGCCATTGAACCTGGCCCAACTTTATTATTAAGTTACTCAAACAACATGCACGTATCTTTTGATGTACGTTTTAAATAACGTACTAACGAGGGGGGCGTCGGATTAAACAAGATGAATCTCAATTAATTTGTTTATTTTTATTTAATAAAGACGGAAGAACTGATTTTTTGTGTTTAGTTTTGAAAACTTAACGTTTTCGCGAATGACTTACCGCTACTATGGTAAATACTATTGTCGTTGAAATTAGTATGCAAATTCTATTAATAAAAATGAACGGTATCATTGGCGTTATACAGTTCATGATTTAGATTGTTATATAACATTTTTTTTATAATAAGGCCGTGTGGACTTTTAACATATGGGCATATGCATAAATTATGAATGCATAAACCACTTCCAATTATAACTGCAATTCACTAAAGTTTTTATCTAACAATGAAAAGTTGTTGGACATTCGTTCTCGGTTTAATATGGAAAGGAAATGGGAACATTAGATACATTTTAAATTAGCGAAGGATTTAATAAAAATGTATAAATTATATTATTATTTAAAGTATGATAGGTATATCATATAATATACATATATCTACAGTTTTTATGCAAATATTGAAGTTGTGTAGTTCTATCGTCCTTGAGAAAGGACAAAAACTTACTGATAATTAATAAAGCACTAATTAGTCATGTTCACCTTTAAGGCATTATCAATTTTATTCAATGAAAGTAGTGAAATTCATAAACTGATTTTTATTTAATGACTAAATTGTTGAACGAATCGTATCTAATTGATATAAAATGAATGGATCGGTTTTCTGGTTACTCTGCGTATCATTGCTGAATGATTTCATGCTCAACAACTGGACACGAAGAAGAAGAAGTTAAATAAACCGTAAGTAGCTTGAGGTTATATTTACATGATATTGGCGCGTTTTACGAGATGGAAAGCGATTTAAACAGATCTTTGAGAATTTTAGATTCAGCAATTTCAACGAAAGATAAAAGTTTGTTACATTCAACAGCACAGAAGGTAAAACAACGTAAAGATCTCGATTTTTCCTTAACATTAACTCCTGTAGAGGCAAAGAGGTTAGAATTACAAAACACATTTTTTTCGGATGTTTCCTTGGCCTTAACAGCAGAAGAACTAAAGAGAATTGATGCTAACAAAGTAACTTCGGAAAATACTTTCTATAATATAGTTGAGGGTGATCGAACCTTGACGGGATCGATTTTGCAAGCAAATAAGCCCTGGACAACAGCTGCAGAGAACTTGTATATAGAGTTTTTCGAGACATTACAATCTCATTCTCAAGAGCATAATGCGTTTAATATATTGTCTGATTTAGCAGCATGTTGTTCAGATGCATTAAATGTAGTCAGAGGCATAAAATCAAAGATAACTATACAGGGCATTCCTGAAGAGTCTTGGTTAGAAAAAGAGCGTAATATTTGGCGATTATTAGTAATTTTAATGCAAGACAGGCTATTGACAAGAAGTGAAAACATGGAAGATGAATGTAATACAGCAAGTGAAAAAATATGTGTGCTTAATTTATTTAAACATGATAGTCTCTTAAGAGAATGTCAGCTGGTAATAGACTGGTTAGAAGTAAATGCATCTGAAATGGAGGAAGCAGTTTATCATTTCACAGACAACAATTCAGTAGGTTGGGAAAATACTCTACATCAACTAGAGTCACCAGAAACTATAGTGTTTGAGAGCTCCAGGAAAATCATTAATAGATTGGATCCAGATGCACCACATTACCAGAAATTACCTCTACATGATATTGATCAAAGCGATGAGGATACATTGTGCCGTAAAATGTACTCTCTTATAAGATGTGGGAAACTTGAAGAAGCTCAAAAGGTTTTTTGTATTGTATTTAGTAATAACTTATGTGTAAATGATGAATATTTTTAGCTATGTGCTGAATGTGGTCACTCATGGAGGGCAGTTCTGCTGGAGGGATGGCGTTTATACCATGATCCTAATATTTGTAACAAGGAAGATCTGAGTGAAACGGAGACAGATGATATGAAATTAATTGAAGATGAAGTAATGGATACAGATTTACAAGAAATAAAGCCTGTCGAAGGAAATAAGTATCGAGATGTATGGAAAAGTGTAGCTCTTGAATACTGTGAAAAGGTATTTTTTTCATTAGCACTAAATATTTACGAATAATTTCTTGTACATCAGCTTATATGAACTACTGATTGTAAATGTATTATATTTAAGGACTGTTTGAATCTTTATGAGAAAGCAGCTGTAGCAGCATATTGTGGTCATTTAGAATCACTAATAACAGTGTGTAAGACATGGGAAGATTGTCTGTGGGCTTACATGAGAGTTTTAGTTGATATTAGAGTAGAGTCAGAACTTAGAGATTCTATGCCGAGAATTTATAGTCCCCTCAAGGACGAATATTGGGAGCAGAGGTATTTATATTGAGGTTTATTTTTAAACATTAAAATAACTTCTCCTTAAACTACTCATGAAATTATTTTAATTGATTTATTCCTCTAGGATGTCTCTTAATGAAGTTTTCGATCGAATTGAATCTTCACCCAATGATGAAATAAGTAAAAAAGCAACATTGCCAGATTACAAAATACAAAAATACATAATTTTGGATGATATGGTAAATTTGCTGGATGAACTTGGTGTCTGGGTGGAAGATGAATGTGTCTCGACGCAATTTTTACGATTTGCAGCTCACTTAGTTTTATTATTTGATGAACTGGGGCTTATAAATGAAAGAAGTGTTTTAAATAAATGTGTAAAAGCGTAAGTTTCTGCGTGTTTTGCTTTCAATTGTGACAAAAATGTTTTATAAATAAGATATACTTAAAAAAGTGTTTTACAGGTACATTGATCATCTGTGTGAACTAAAGGAAACTCAGTTGATAGCCTATTATGTTAGTAAATTGGATTCCAATAAGCAAGTCGACGTTTATGCGTCATACCTAGAGGAAATAACGGAAGATTTAGATAGGCGAGAGGCATTAAAATTTGGCGAAAATTGTGGTCTGGATACTGTGAAAGTGACTAAACAGGTCGTTTATAATATTAGGAACAAGCCGCACGAAATTTCAGAAGGTGGAGATTTACAGGTAGTGAAAAAAATATGTGTAGTAAAAAGACTCACCAAAGTTGCGTGGTTCATGAAGTAGGATCCCTTCACATTCTTCGTTACATAATAGCTATACTGACACCTGTAACAAAAAAAGTTAATGAAAAAAATGCAATGCAGTTGTTTCATTTTTCTAGAATTTCTAAAATAAGATTAACTAGAGTGGAATGCTATCCTAAAGTTTTACTAAAATCATTTGTTAGCACCCTAATATTCAATTTTACTCACTGTAAAACAAGTTTACAATTTTAGAACTTGTACTTTCATGTTTAACTTGAAAAAAAAATGTGACGTGACTTGAATAATGATTTAATTTCAGGAGAAACCTACTTCTGCTGATGCCTTGAAAATTTCAGCACTCGACTGGCTCTTGATTTATGATACACAACGTTTTGATCTTTTAGAAGAGTGCAATGCCTTGATTTTTATGTTTCTGACTATGGGTAAAGTGGAATGTGCTAAAGTGGCATTTGGTAAAGTACCTTCCGATGCAGTGAACTCTATCTTGGCTGATCAAGATGTGACGTCGTCCAGGGCTAGCCAAGTAGTTCGAGAACACCTTAGCTACAAAACTTACTTAGATGCACAAGATGCTTTTACATTATGGTTTGAACAGTATAATTCAAAACCATTGCCACCTGGGGAACTCCATGAGAATGCACAATTCACGGAAAAAGTGGCGCATCAACATCGTGTATCGCAGTTTAAGGCGGAAACAGAACGGTGGAAGTTATCATGTACTCATTTAGCTAAAGCAGCTAAAACATTGTTGTATAATGTTCTACTGTTTCCTGAAGGATGGTTAACTGGGGCCAAAGATGCAAGCTACATGAGGTCCAAAGTAATACCTGAGTGCGCATTACTTTTGTATACAGTACTATATGAATCTGCACATTACGAAGAGTGTATACAATTAGCTGATGTTATAGCTTCAGAAAAACATGGATTATATAGGGTAAGATAATTCTGAGATGGTTTTCAGATTTAAAAGAACCATTTAAAATTATTTTGTAATAAATTAAATTCTGTAGTCTTGTGATTGTAAATTCCAATCTTAGTACAGAATGTTGTCATTAAGTATCAAGTTAATATTGTAGTAAATTTTAATTTATTTTGCAGGCATACTCTAAAGAAAAGTTAGGAGAGTTTTTAAGAAAACTTGGTGAAAGCTCTGTCGCTTTATTAAACGAAAGAAAGGATCCTTGGGGCCAAGACACCTCTGTTTAGAATCAACATAAAAGCTACTTCTACTTATTAATTTTGTTTATGATAAATAAATGTATTTTTCAGACGCTTAATTGTTATGGACCATTAAAAATCGCAGACGGTTTTCGTATCGGTTCAGATAATGACGAATTGTACCTTGGTTAGAAAAAGAGCGTAATATTTGGCGATTATTAGTAATTTTAATGCAAGACAGGCTATTGACAAGAAGTGAAAACATGGAAGATGAATGTAATACAGCAAGTGAAAAAATATGTGTGCTTAATTTATTTAAACATGATAGTCTCTTAAGAGAATGTCAGCTGGTAATAGACTGGTTAGAAGTAAATGCATCTGAAATGGAGGAAGCAGTTTATCATTTCACAGACAACAATTCAGTAGGTTGGGAAAATACTCTACATCAACTAGAGTCACCAGAAACTATAGTGTTTGAGAGCTCCAGGAAAATCATTAATAGATTGGATCCAGATGCACCACATTACCAGAAATTACCTCTACATGATATTGATCAAAGTGATGAGGATACATTGTGCCGTAAAATGTACTCTCTTATAAGATGTGGGAAACTTGAAGAAGCTCAAAAGGTTTTTTGTATTGCATTTAGTAATAGCTTATGTGTAAATTATGAATATTTTTAGCTATGTGCTGAATGTGGTCACTCATGGAGGGCAGTTCTGCTGGAGGGATGGCGTTTATACCATGATNGTCAACGATGTCGGCCATTATAGTTTTTTAATATATGTATAGTAATCAATGATTAAAATTAAAAGGAATTGTTTGTAAATAATTATGCAACAGATCGTACACTTCAGCATAAGAAATTGCTGATACTAACTTTCATTTACGTAATACTATTTTGCCCTGTGCTGATAGCACTTATAATATTTGTAGGTCGTCAGTCCTAAGACTGATTGGTCGTGGACGTCCACTTCTTCCTATCCTGAGCTAATCTTCGCATTTTCCTAAAACTAGAACAACCCACATCCTTAACTATTTGCGAAGAGTAATCTAATCTATATAAAGTACTTTTTATTACTTTAACACGGATAAGAACACGTTCAAACAAATCAGAATGGCATAAAGGATTTTACATCGGCTTATTCCGTGGAGCATGCGCATGGGCACATTTATTATAGAATGAAATGATTTTGACAGTTCAATTTCCTGATAAATATTTTAAATTCAAATTTAAATGTATTTAATTAATATACGAAAAATGTACAAATGGAACACGACATAATTTCATATTTCATGTAGATTCACTATTTACGCAACGTGCTCCAAGTTGCATAGTTAACTGATGTAACCTAACCTAAGCCACGATTAATGTAACAAGTACCTACTGTTTAATTAATATTTGTGACAAAACTTGGATGATAATGAAAACAAAAGGAGGCATACCTTATGATTATAACTTACATCTTCTGGATGCTATTTTACTACTAAGTCACAAATATAAAGTACTTTTTACTACTTTAACACGCTTAAGAACACATTCAAACAAACCACAATGGCATAAATCTATTTACAAACAATTCTTTTAAATTTTAATCATTGATTACTGTACATCTATTAAAAAAACATAATGGCCGACATCAGTGACAATGCTACAACAATTGAAAAAGAATGATGGCCGACAACTGCAACAATTAGAAAAGAATGATGGCCGACGACTGCAACAATTAGAAAAGAATGATGGCCGACACTACGTCATAGTGGAGCAAAAATGGGCGGGGACAGGGCAAGAACTAGTTTATATAATCAAATATTAATCGAAAATATATCATTGAAAATATTATTATAGGCAAAAATATTTCTATCCAGACACTGCATTATAGAAAATGCTATTTTTTTTTCGTTATTCAAAGTTATGAAAAATTCCAACTATCTTTAGACATAAACCATGCTTATCATTTTAATGAAAATCTGTTATATCTGTTATTATAAAATAAGCAAATAGCGTATTAGAAGAATGTCTTTAAAATATTAAAAGAAAATATGTACAAATATATTTTCTAGGATTGTTTTACAAAAATATGTCTAAATATTCTAATTTATTACGAATAATGAGATACAATGACAGAAAAATTATTGACAAAATGAGAAACCTACTTCTGCTGATGCCTTGAAAATTTCAGCACTCGACTGGCTCTTGATTTATGATACACAACGTTTTGATCTTTTAGAAGAGTGCAATGCCTTGATTTTTATGTTTCTGACTATGGGTAAAGTGGAATGTGCTAAAGTGGCATTTGGTAAAGTACCTTCCGATGCAGTGAACTCTATCTTGGCTGATCAAGATGTGACGTCGTCCAGGGCTAGCCAAGTAGTTCGAGAACACCTTAGCTACAAAACTTACTTAGATGCACAAGATGCTTTTACATTATGGTTTGAACAGTATAATTCAAAACCATTGCCACCTGGGGAACTCCATGAGAATGCACAATTCACGGAAAAAGTGGCGCATCAACATCGTGTATCGCAGTTTAAGGCGGAAACAGAACGGTGGAAGTTATCATGTACTCATTTAGCTAAAGCAGCTAAAACATTGTTGTATAATGTTCTACTGTTTCCTGAAGGATGGTTAACTGGGGCCAAAGATGCAAGCTACATGAGGTCCAAAGTAATACCTGAGTGCGCATTACTTTTGTATACAGTACTATATGAATCTGCACATTACGAAGAGTGTATACAATTAGCTGATGTTATAGCTTCAGAAAAACATGGATTATATAGGGTAAGATAATTCTGAGATGGTTTTCAGATTTAAAAGAACCATTTAAAATTATTTTGTAATAAATTAAATTCTGTAGTCTTGTGATTGTAAATTCCAATCTTAGTACAGAATGTTGTCATTAAGTATCAAGTTAATATTGTAGTAAATTTTAATTTATTTTGCAGGCATACTCTAAAGAAAAGTTAGGAGAGTTTTTAAGAAAACTTGGTGAAAGCTCTGTCGCTTTATTAAACGAAAGAAAGGATCCTTGGGGCCAAGACACCTCTGTTTAGAATCAACATAAAAGCTACTTCTACTTATTAATTTTGTTTATGATAAATAAATGTATTTTTTTGTAGCCATGTTTAAGTTATTTACTTTTATAATTAAATTGCTTCATAACAGTATGTCTTTATAATTAATACATATATATATATCCATATGACTAACAAAATTTTTAAAACAAGTGCGTGGTTCAGTAAAGCCTAGCAATAATAGAAAATTGAGTAGATTTGACCTTTACTTGATGAAAATTGATTATCACTATAAAAACAAGACACGACAAACTTTATCCAAAAGTCATNCTGGGTAATTTTGAAAAGAATTTACAGCCATAAAGAAGTCAAAGACGCACTGTGAAGAAATTTGAGGCCCTAAAAGTCTTTAAGACGTTAGTATGTTTTCTGAACTTGCCTTTAAACGATTATTAAAAAATTTAAATTAAACGGTAGCAATTATATTTATTTTTATTTTTTTATTTAGATTTATTTTCGTAAAGTGGAGGCAATATTTAATTAAGTTGGATATTTTTTATGTTTTAAGTTTAAAATGTAAAGTGATATATATGTAAGACTTAAAAACACATTGATAGTAGTTAATAGAATGCAAATGCATTTCAAATAACAGGGTATATTCGAAATTCATTTTGTCTTACATATCGTATGCAGGTAACTCATTCATACTTCAATTATAAATACATTTTTCATTGAAGTAATAGTTTGTATGCATCTTTCAAAAAATTCAACTAGTAGTCTACCTACAATAGCTGTCGTTACAAAAATTGATTCATTTGTTCAGTTAATGACTAAAGCTTAATTCCTAAATTTACTAAAATGTGAAAAGAATAATGTAAATGTAATTATGCAGTTTGTAATAATTTAAACTATTTATTGAAGTTTGTCGCTTTGTGGGTGAAATACGGAAAAATGAATTTTCCCAGAAGTAAGATATAGCTAGATCGATTTTGCGCTCCCGCAAACCTATATAGGTATTGTTTCATCGAAATTGGTGGAGTCGATTCGAGAACGCGATTACAAACAAACAAATACAATATAACCGGATATAACAACCCTCAAGGGTTACTCTGCGTATCATTGCTGAATGATTTCATGCTCAACAACTGGACACGAAGAAGAAGAAGTTAAATAAACCGTAAGTAGCTTGAGGTTATATTTACATGATATTGGCGCGTTTTACGAGATGGAAAGCGATTTAAACAGATCTTTGAGAATTTTAGATTCAGCAATTTCAACGAAAGATAAAAGTTTGTTACATTCAACAGCACAGAAGGTAAAACAACGTAAAGATCTCGATTTTTCCTTAACATTAACTCCTGTAGAGGCAAAGAGGTTAGAATTACAAAACACATTTTTTTCGGATGTTTCCTTGGCGTTAACAGCAGAAGAACTAAAGAGAATTGATGCTAACAAAGTAAATTCGGAAAATACTTTCTATAATATAGTTGAGGGTGATCGAACCTTGACGGGATCGATTTTGCAAGCAAATAAGCCCTGGACAACAGCTGCAGAGAACTTGTATATAGAGTTTTTCGAGACATTACAATCTCATTCTCAAGAGCATAATGCGTTTAATATATTGTCTGATTTAGCAGCATGTTGTTCAGATGCATTAAATGTAGTCAGAGGCATAAAATCAAAGATAACTATACAGGGCATTCCTGAAGAGTCTTGGTTAGAAAAAGAGCGTAATATTTGGCGATTATTAGTAATTTTAATGCAAGACAGGCTATTGACAAGAAGTGAAAACATGGAAGATGAATGTAATACAGCAAGTGAAAAAATATGTGTGCTTAATTTATTTAAACATGATAGTCTCTTAAGAGAATGTCAGCTGGTAATAGACTGGTTAGAAGTAAATGCATCTGAAATGGAGGAAGCAGTTTATCATTTCACAGACAACAATTCAGTAGGTTGGGAAAATACTCTACATCAACTAGAGTCACCAGAAACTATAGTGTTTGAGAGCTCCAGGAAAATCATTAATAGATTGGATCCAGATGCACCACATTACCAGAAATTACCTCTACATGATATTGATCAAAGTGATGAGGATACATTGTGCCGTAAAATGTACTCTCTTATAAGATGTGGGAAACTTGAAGAAGCTCAAAAGGTTTTTTGTATTGCATTNGTGGAGGTAGACCTAGATTAGATTACTGTTCGCAAATAGTTAAGGATGTGTGTTATTCTAGTTTTAGGGAAATGCGAAGATTAGCTCAGGATAGGAAAGAGTGGAGGTGGGTGTCAACCAGTCTTAGAACTGACGACCTTATGATGATGATGATGATGACGTATGTAATGGTATAGTTTCTTTATAACCAATCTCTATTGAACTGACAAAGTCTGACCAGCAATCTTACCAGCAACGATGTTGTGTCTTACTTTAAAACGGTTTATCCAACTCATCGAACAACTGAAGTTAGGAATATTCAACTATTAAAAAGTTAGCTTTTTCTTGAAGCAGGGTCCCATTAACGGGTATTCCCCGGTTACGCTTAAGCTTAAACCACTATAATAATGCCTCATCTATCTGTTGTTGAGTTGATGCCTTGACATGTTTACATTTCAAAACATTTACATTAAATAGGGGTTCTTGCTTATTTTTATTTTTATTTATTGTGGATATTTTAGAATGAGAAACGCCGAATTCCTTTTCGAGTGTTACATTTGATTTGCGTTCTTCTATACGTGTAAAATAGCCTTTTTTTCTTCAATTGTAAAACACTTTCGTTTCGAGCTTTTAACTTTGTCACAATTGAGTTTACATAGCGGTTAGCTAAAAACAGTTAGCCGTTATAAGCAATGTCGTTATATCCAAATTCTACCGTATATGATAGATAGATAGATTAAACTTAAAGGAATTGTTTGTAAATAGGTATGCAATACATCGTACACTTCAGCATAAGAAATTGCTTATACTAACTTTCATTTACGTAATACTATTTTGCCTTGTGCTGACAGCACTTACAATTCTTTTTCATATATAATTGTAAAAATTAAAGAAAACAAATGTTCTATTATTTTAAAAAAAAAAAGAAGATATGTCCCCTGTGCTCGTTAGTGCTAGTCAGACGCTTCTGATTAACAAATGCTCATAGGTTCACATCCAATAAACATGATGTCTTATAAATTTGGTATTGGCAATGTAAATTATTAATAAGTAGTCAAACAATTTATCTTACTGCTGAAATATCACGGTTTAGTTTGGTTCCAAATATCCTTAATTAATTAAATAATGTATCAAGCAAAGTTTTTCGCCTCAGTTTAGCTGACAGTTCATTACATTACTCATTACCCGGATGAGAAGAATGAAATAGAAGTTTACGACATATCCGGAGGGTCTGTTCTTTGTTCGTTCTTCAGAAGTAGTGCAGTTTTTAAAAACAAAAAGGAATAAAACAATCACTAAAGTGTTTACATCTAGTAGTTGATTAAACTTTTGTCGGAAAATCAGTTTAAAAAGTCTATTGGCTTCTCGACGCCATTCAGGCACGTTTGAAGTTTTTAATTCGATTAAGTTTAGTTCTCGCACCAATAAATTGGAGAAATCGTCAGCAATGGAAACGCATACAATGGTATTTTTCTTTCTTTAATTGTAAGTATTCATTAAGAGACATTGGAAATCATCGGAACACTATGTCATTTGTAAGCAAAAGGTTTTGGGCTTACAGTTTTATTTCATACCTAGGCACCTCATTGGACTATCGCATTTAGTTTTGGTGAATGTTGATTGTTGCCAAATAATAAAATTATTCAGTGGCAGATCTTTGATATTAGTAATTTTCAATTTTTACATGAATGCATAACTGAAATATGGGACCACTTGAGGATGCCCCTGAGTCGAGTTGTTGTACCTGATGTAACATATATTCCTTGAATCAGCTTATTACACATTGTCTTTGATTGGATCACTGTAATTTTGTGAGTAAAAATTCGAAAATTGGTTAAAAAAATCGGTTGTCTGTAAAGTCGGTTTACTGACGATAGTTGAACGTGACAACGTCATAAGAAAATACTGATGGAATGGTTTCATTTTTCAAAAGAAAATTTTAATTTTATTTGTTTGATAGATATTTTGTATGGATATAGAGAAGGAGGTAAATGGAAATCACAATTGAATTGATCAAGTTACATTTATTTGTACGCATAAATACAATTATGTCAATTTTTATTTATTTTTTTTCCAATGTACATAGTTTTTACAAGTATGAATGTGCTTTGAGTAATTGTTTTACAACTTTTATTTACAACTTTTAAACATCATTAAAATTTTTGTAACTCTAGCTTCAATTCGACAATATATCACTGAACGTATATATAATATTGCTATAAACAATTGACACCACATTCACTTTTCACTGCACTTCATACTTGACGAAAACATGTAAATGTATTATTGTATAGCAGCTGTCCACGCGGACGCATCGCTCACTCAAGTAGGAGAGAGACAGATGTCGAACGCTGCCGAACGCGGAGGCCGATTGTGCCTCTTTGTCGCTCGTTCCGCGCTCTCGCTTGTACTTCAAGCCTTAAATGGAACGCCTCAGAGCGAGGTAACGCCGCATGAGTCATGTTTTTTCGTGCGTGCAGCCGGCTCCATCGAATTATAAGACGTTGTCACGTCAAAAGGGGCCGAAATTGTGAACCATTTCCTTTTAATATGAATAAATTAGAAGATGTAAGAAGCATTTGCGGTATATAATCATTAACAGTGGTATTCCTGTGGTCAGGGGCGCAACAACGTTACAGTTTGACTGGGTGCTCCCCCAAGCCGAAAATGTCGAGCTTGAACTATTTGAACCGAACATTCAAATTGGTTTATTATCTGAATCGACTGGAATTGACTGGGTACCCAACCCAATCGAGTGGGTGCTCAGGCACCCGTGGACCCCCCCCCTTGTTGCGCCTCTGCCTGTAGTAGAGTTCTTAGGAAAATAATTAACTACAACAGTATCTTCATTTTTCTTGCAAATTGTATCTGTTTTGTTTTTTGTTACGATTTGTGCTACAATTTTTTTAAGTGTGTCATACAAATTAAAATTGGCTTGAACACTGTAAAGAGCTATATTTTGCGTGTCCA